GGGGGGGGGGGGGGGGGGGTAAGGTAACACATTCCCTCTTCCCCTCCCCCTCTGTTTATCATTTAAATTATTAAAATTTCTTAAACCCTCAACCTAACATGTAATATCATCAAAGCTTTGATCCAAATTTAAAATAAATGGATTTTTCCATGCCTGCTCTGGTATGTTAGAAGAAACTATTATAAAATTGAACAATTTCAATCAGTTTTAATGTACTAAATAATTGTAAAAAGTTTCTTTCTGGTGAAATGCAACTAAACTCTTACTTAGAAATTATAGAAACTTAAAAATGTCTCAACAGTATCAAATGACTCCTAAAACTTTTCTCTATAAAACTGCACTCTAGGTTTAAATACGTTATCTAGCCACTCTCTCCCTTTAAGAACTGGAACCAGGAAGGTACAAAATATAACCAAGAAAGTTGACATCCGGGACAAAGAAATCTTCGAAGTTGAGAATTAGAAGATTTATTGGTGTTTAGAGCAACACAACTTCAACCATCATATATTACTAATGTGTTTTCTTTCCGGAACTATAAATATGGAATTTCCAGATATTTTTCAATTAGAGTAATTCTTCCAAGGTTGTAATAACCTTGACTTCTTCTATCTTTTATATTTACATATTTAATTAGATTTGTAAAGTTATTATTATTCTAACTTTATATGGTAGCTTTCACCAGAAGACCATTTTAGCAAGAACAATTTTTATACTCAAGTTATGACTTCATAAAGTACTCTAAAGAACATTAAACATTGTAACTGCTTAAATATGAACTTCCTATTCCGCAGTTGTATGGGTCTCACTGTGTCTCAAATGAGTATTTTTTAGTTGGAATTGACCCATTGTTAAAAGTCATATATAAATAAGGTTATGGTAGTGGTGTATACATGCGTAAACACCTACACCATAACAAGTTCTCGAACCTATCTATATCAAGGTACAATCCTTCCGCTATCAAACCACATATTTATTTATCTATGGGGAAGATCCTTCCTGTTTATGAAAACAGGGTTTCAGGATTACTCTCTTGCAGTAAAAAGTACAGAGTTAATCTTTAAACTGACTTTATCTACATATTTAAATATGTCATAAGTTAACGTGAATTTACGTAATACAATTCCTACGTTGCTATCCACATCACATGATTAAGACAATCATATTACATATTTATGGTACAGTTTAAGTTTCATGTACGTATTTATAAGATTAGCGAGAATAGATATAACGTAGTTAAGCTAGCTATCTCCACATATGCTTATAGCGTTATATCATGTTTACACGATATTTTCTAAAGAAGATAAATTTTGTTGAACATTTATTTCTCAACTATTTCATGATTCTTACATCACCATAACAAATCCCTTGGACTAACTCTAATTGTTGAGTGTTGACAAATATTTACTTGAAATGATCACAGTTTTTTTTTGAAAAACATTATTTCCAGTGACCCTCCAATAACTCCGTGCAAAGATAGCAATAAACGATTCACAACGGTACCTTGAAACCTTAATCTGATCAATAGTATGGAAGAAATTGTCGGATTTCTAGGTTAAAAAAATCCTGTATTTTTCCTGTTGTAGAAATGCCTAGTTTCTTTTGTAAAGACACCACAATTAAAAAAACAAGAAGGTTTTAAAATTATTAACATATTGACATACAATTCATATTTGATCAGACAAAGGATCAGACAAAGTACCATTGTGAATCGAACATCAGAATTTTTGCATGGAGAGTCACATAAAACCACGCTTACAGTCCCTTTTGAAGTTTTTAATCAAAACTTTTTTGTCAGGGTTCACTTTGATACTGACGAGATAGGAGATGGTGAAGGAGAATCAGCTGACAATAGAGGATTCTGTCTTAGTTACGTTCAGCAACCCTGCACCAGCTAAATATTTTCATACAGGTAATAAAACCCTGCACCAGCTAAATATATTCATACAGGTAATGAAACCCTGCACCAGCTAAATATATTATTCAGGTAATGAAACCCTGCACCAGCTAAATATATTCATACAGGTAATGAAACCCTGCACCAGCTAAATATATTATACAGGTAATGAAACCCTGCACCAGCTAAATATATTCATACAGATAATGAAACCCTGCAGCAGCTAAATATATTCATACAGGTAATAAAACCCTGCAACAGCTAAATATATTCATACAGGTAATGAAACCCTGCACCAGCTAAATATATTTATACAGATAATGAAACCCTGCACGAGCTAAATATATTCATACAGGTAATAAAACCCTACGCCAGCTAAATGTATTCATACAGTTCATAAAACCGTTTCTAATCCAAACAGGTTCTACGATAAAACCCTGGGTTTCTAATCCAAACAGGTTCTCCAATAAAACCATGGGTTTCTAATCCAAACAGGTTCTCCAATAAAACCATGGGTTTCTAATCCAAACAGGTTCTCCAATAAAACCGTGGGTTTCTAATCCAAACAGGTTCTCCAATAAAACCATGGGTTTCTAATCCAAACAGGTTCTCCAATAAAACCGTGGGTTTCTAATCCAAACCGGTTCTCCAATAAAACCAGGTTTCTAATCCAAACAGGTTCTTCAATAAAACCAGGTTTCTAATCTAAACAGGTTCTCCAACAAAACCATGGGTTTCTAATCCAAACAGCTTCTCCAATAAAACCAGATTTCTAATCCAAACAGGTTCTCCAATAAAACCAGGTTTCTAATCCAAACAGGTTCTCCAATAAAACCAGGTTTCTAATGCAAACAGGTTCTCCAATATAACCATGGGTTTCTAATCCAAACAGGTTCTCTAATAACCAGCGTTTCGATCCAAACAGGTTTTTCAACAAAACTAGTTTTCTATTCCAAGCAGGTTCTCCAATAAACCCGGTTTTCAAATACAAATGGTTTCTACAAAAAATTGGGATTTTGTAATAATAGGTTCTCCAATAAAACCGGGTTGCCGAATTGTAAGGTTCGCCTACGATACGAAACCGGTTTATCACTGAAATAGGGTTGCCATAAAACCGGTTTTACGCAAGTCTTGAAAATGATTTATAATTAATTGTTTATTGTAGGGAAGAACAAGTTTGATAATGTTGTATCATCAGTCATCACCATATCTTCCATGTTTAACTATAAAAGAATCTCAAAAAAAAATGTTGTAATCGAATTTAGCCACTAGCATTTCCTAAAATGGAATGAAATAATAAATATCGGTTAATCTAAATATATTCTTTGCTTGTCTGTTTGCTTGTCTGTTTGTTTGTTTGTTTGTTTGTAACCGTTAAACGTCAAAACGGCTTAATCGATCGGGCCCATATTTTTTCCGGGATCTCACATGACCCCAGGGAAGGTTTATGGATGCAAGAATTACAAAATATTTGTTTGAAATAGTAAATGGGATCCGATACCCTTTAGTATAGTTTAAACAGACAAAATTTAAACATGAAAACACTCCTGAATTATCTCAAAAAATAGATAAATACATTTTCAACAGTTAAGACAAGTTTTAATGTCATGTCACATCAGAAAAAAGTGAAAAGTTGCGAAAGTTAGATTTTCAAAAAGCAGAAAAATTAGATAATAATAGAGCACAAGAGGAACTGAAGGTAAAAAAAAGAATGTTTAAATAAAAAATTAATCTTTTTTCTACTTTGCTAAATAAACTCGTTGAATTTGTGCAAGATGAATCTATGCATTTTTATCGAAAAAGTGCCTCCTAGTTTCTTATAACTGTAACTGCAGAAGCTGTTATCATTTTACCAACAAATCAAGAAATCAACAGATCAAATTTTACGGTCGAATACTGATGTATTGGAAACAAATACAGTGATAACCAGAAAACTCTGTAATATGAAGACAACATTAAATCAATTAATTAGAGTATGTGATGTTGTAGCAAATATCTTCTCAGTAACTTAAAAAATCACTTAATTAGTGAAATGAGTCTGTTTACACTGCACAATTGTTGAGTCTTATGTCCATTGGAATATTTCAAGACAAATTGGAGTCTTCGTCTTCCTAATCCAGAGTTTTCTGGTTCTTACTGTATCTAAATCTTAAAAAACTTCACAATGATTTGTAATTCTAGTTTTATTATATTGAAAAAGATGTTTTCAAGAAAATATTTTATTTTAACAGTTGCAATGCCTGTGTTTTGCGGTGTTTATGCATCCAACATGTTAGGTTTAAAAGATTGGATCTAAACTTTCTAACGCTTTCTCTGCATTTCCCAAGGTCGTAAAGTGAAGTTGGTTACTCTCTATACGCTCCAATGTACGGAAAATATCGTCGATTAAGATAGATAGATAAAAACCTCATATGACCCACTGATTATAGAGGCGAGAGTGGTGTCATCATAAGAGGATTTTATCTACCTATCTTAGGATACGACATTTTCCGTACATGGAAGTCCATCGAGAGTAACCAACCCTCTTATACAACCTTGGGATTTCCGAACCTGAGTATAAATAAACAACATCAATTCTAATACAAACTCTTGAATCCAGGAAGGGCGAGAAACACATTTTCTTCAAAATAAACCATTTTGATCAAGTTATCTCTATATCTATATATATAAAGTTGTAATCTCAATTTGTCTGTTTGTTTGTTTGTTTGTCCGATCATCCTAAACCGATTTGCCTCAAATTTTGATTGGGAAACACGGGAGGACCACGGGAATGTTCATAGCTTGGTTTTGAGATTCTAAGGTGTATGGATCGATTTTATCTGTCTGTCTGTCAGGAATCCTTAGGCTGATTTTCCTCAAATCAGTAGGACCACGGGAATGTTTTTTGTTTGACTTTGAGAGTTAAACTTGAGTGATTCTACTTTTAGAGGAAAAAATTGCTAAAATCTTAATTTACGACAACGCGCAGGTAAACGTGGGACTAACTATGGCTACCCTGGGCCACGCAGGATTCCACAGCTAGTTTGTACAGTGAGAACCAGAAAACTGTGGAAGACGATAATTATAAAGTAATATTTATCCGTACTTAATGGTGTAATATTAAAGCAAATACTTATACTAGTTATACTAGTGAAATGGTCTCTGCAAACTGCACAAATACTATTTAAAAATCATAACTTAAGTTTAAAAGTCGTTTTCCTATTCCAGATGATTTCTGTAGATTCCTTAGCTCTAATTGGATGAGCCCTGAGATTATATACTTCAAAATCTCTTCTTTTTTGATTTTGTTGATCGTCAAGATTTTTACTTTGAGACTAAATGGTTCGCTTGAAAAATATTTATTCAGGCACTGTATACTGTATAGCTAAGGAATAATTTAGCACAATATTTATTTATTTTAAGAAACAAATATACAAATCCATAAAAATCATATTGAACTGCACAGTGTTGCCTTCCCTGTTTAAATATTCATAATACAAGATCATAAGAATATTTCCCGCATTTTCTCTAGTTTACACGAAAATGTTGCAATCTTCTCTTCAAATCTTTTTAAATATTCATATATTTATGAAATGTTAAAGCACCGAATTTAAATAACCCTTGTTCACATCTAAACCTGACATAGCTACACCTTGTGTTTACTTCTTTTATTAGAAAATAATAACACAAAAAATGAGGGTTGCGCGAAACTTTGCGGCTTCGTTTGTGTGGTCCCGTTTAGATCTCTATCTAAGTAACTATGAGAAGGATATTATCTTTTTTCTATCTTAAAAATTATAAAATTACGTCTGTAGTTTATACTGTGAGACACTTTTAAGATAAAAAATCTTGCATCTAATTATATATGTATAAAGGTTTAAACTCTAGGTTCTAAGTTGATTGGGTCGTCTATAATAGCGAAAATTTAGTTTCCCGGTAAAATCGTTCCAGTGCGGGTAACGGCGGGAGTAACTTTACAGCGCTGGGTTCCCAAGCTAGTATTTTATAATTACAAACTTTATGAAAGTTGTATCTGATTTCTATATTTGTGTACAATTGATTACTATATTCTGTGGCCTGGATTAGAAATCTTATATGAGATATAAATATCAATCAGTAAAAAACTAAGTTTCTAAAAAAGTTTGAATGTAAAAAGATTTGAATTTTGCAGCGAAAGATAAATTATGAAAATATGTTAAAATATAAAAAGTATAAAGTAGTTTCAAGCTGGATAGTGTTATTAAACCCATAAACCTTGAATAATTGATAAAATCAAATTCTGTATTCTGCACTCGACAATGTTTATTTCACAATATGTCGCGCAGTATCAAATAAAAAAAAAGAAAATATTGGAAACCTTATTTTTTTTTTTTAATTCATAAACGTATATTTTGCTAACCTTTGTACTCTGTACATAACACTGCAAACTAGACAGAAGGAGAAGGTCAAATTCATGCAACATTACTGGTATAACTTTGGGACCTCGTAGCTCCTCTAGTTTTGGTATTACTGGTACAACTTTGGGACCTCGTAGCTCCTCTAGTTTTGGTATTACTGGTACAACTTTGGGACCTCGTAGCTCCTCTTGTTTTGGTATCACTGGTACAACTTTGGGACCTCGTAGCTCCTCTAGTTTTGGTATTACTGGTACAACTTTGGGACCTCGTAGCTCCTCTTGTTTTGGTATCACTGGTACAACTTTGGGACCTCGTAGCTCCTCTTGTTTTGGTATCACTGGTACAACTTTGGGACCTCGTAGCTCCTCTAGTTTTGGTATCACTGGTACAACTTTGGGACCTCGTAGCTCCTCTTGTTTTGTTTTTACTTGTATGATAAAATCAAGTTTATATATTATACATTCAAATTATGTTTGTTTAACTCAATAGAGTTATAGTCGAAAACATAAAGGATTTCAGCCTTTAAATTGACGTGATAATTGTGTACATCATAATACAGGGTTACCCAGAAAAGAGCAGATTTCAAAGACGACGGTATAAGATTTATTTAATCTTAGTAATTATATTTAATGTTCCCTGCAGCTGCATAAACTTATCCCTTTGAGTATTGAAATATAAGAGGTCGTCTAGGAGTATTGAAATATAAGAGGTCGTTAAGGAGTATTGAAATATAAGAGGTCGTCAAGGAGTATTGAAATATAAGAGGTCGTCAAGGAGTATTGAAATATAAGAGGTCGTCAAGGATTATTGAAATATAAGAGGTCGTCAAGGAGTATTGAATTATAAGAGGTCGTCAAGGAGTATTGAAATATAAGAGGTCGTCAAGGAGTATGAAATATAAGAGGTCGTCAAGGAGTATTGAAATATAAGAGGTCGTCAAGGAGTATGAAATATAAAAGGTCGTCAAGGAGTATGAAATAGAAGAGAGACGCGGCCCGCCCTACCATATGATTAGACATGCTTTGCAGACGGCAAATATTTCTAATACAAATGGAGTGCCGTCTGCAAAGCGTCAGTAGTGTATCCCTTCTATTCCATACTCCTTAGAGGTCGTTCTTAAAGTTTTTCCAATTTTATTAACTAATTTACTCGGTACGATATAAAACGTACACTCATATACACAAAACTTGTATGCGATTCCATTAGCGCCTTATCCAATCAGGGTTTCGTCATGTGGTTATAGTGTCTATTCTGAACCAATAGAAATTGCATGGCAGTATCATCTATCTTTCTATCTATCTCATTATCCAATTAGAGATAAATCTTTATATCGGGTGTAAACAGTAAATGGAAATATTTACTTCTACTGAAACTATAGTGGGAGGTGGACGCTTTTTTATTGTAAATCTCTAGATAAAGGAAATGAGGGTTTGCCACAGATTATTAAATCCTTACAACCCGATGACGCAGACTTTTGATATTTCAAATTCTGTGAAATCAAAAAGTCTATAGTTTGAAAGTTTTCAGCATAGGTATTAGAAAAAAAGGGACTAGAAAATTTGAGTTTGTGACATGATAAAATAAAAGTTCTGAGAAAGTGAAAATAAAATGAAGATTTGATATCATATCGTCTTTCTCCGATACCAGCTTGAACTGTAGTTCCGGACAACAGCTGGAGGGAAATTGTAAAAATAAACTGTTATCTTTCATAATAAAATAAAAAGTTTACGAGTTTTATTTAACATTTAATCAAATATTGCCAGATGGTTTAAATTCAATGAAAAGTGAAACCTTAAAAAAAGTTTTAACAACAAAAGTAAAACCAAAGTATGTCAACTTATGTCTTCGTTAATGCCTCTGATGTTAATCTGCTACGATTACCTGACAATCTTCTACCTTCCAATCAACTCCTTACCTGTCACAAAACTATGTGAA